TCGAGGTGTGAACAAGTGGTACTTCACGTCAACTCTCCGCCTCAACTCTGGAGCTTGGCGCCAACGCTAACCCGGCCTGTTTTTCGGTGAGTGCACATTCTGTATACCAATCATTGGACCATAGTCAAGTCAAAAAGGCTCTGTCGGAAAGGTGGCTTGGTGAGCGATCGGTCGGCGACCGGTATGTGTGCGAGAGAAATAGTGGCCGTTCGAATAGCATAAGTCTCACTCCGACCGACCGGTCACCGACCGATCGCCTACCGACCCACCTTTCGGACAGACCCCATAACCTTTCAGTAGAGCTAAAATAGGAAAGACGGCAGGGAAAAAGTACGTGGAGGTAATTGGCTGAGCGATAAGCGAAGCCTATTACTCCGTCTGGTCGAAAAAAACTTTTTCTGTCTGTCTGTCCGCACGATAACTCGAAAACGAATAGACCCTATTCAGTCTCGGCTCCGGGAGAAGAAAACAGGAATTCCGACCGGAACCAGTATCTGTATCCTGCCATTTCTTCGCGACAAAACTTGCAAACCCAACATGAAAAATTATCACAAATAACATTGTGTATTGTGCTTCTACCTTTCAAAGCCATTTAGACGTTAAAATAGCGTTATTTTTCGTAACTGGTTCCGGTCGGGATTCCTGTCTTCTTCTCTTTTAACCGAGACCGAATAGGGTCTATAGGGTACTCCGGGGCTCGGCTAGACCGGAAGGAGAAGAACAAAAGTCGTCGGGCCGGTCGGGCGCGGGGAGGAGCGGGGCAGGGTAGGGGCAGTACCCCGGGGAGGAGCGGGGTACTGCCGTGGCAAATTGGGTTAAGGGAGTGGGTGGTCGGGCAGGTAGGCGTGCACCCAGAAAAATAGTTTCTTGATTCAAGTGCAAGCTGACACAAGATGAAGTTCACCATTGAGACAAGACAATATTGTCTTTGAAATAACACTTTTTTCTTATTCGAAAGAAAATATCAGCTTGTTTCAAGAGTAAATTTAATCTTATGGCAGCGTGCACTTGAAACAAGGAAAAATTTACTTGAAACAAGA